CCTCAGGGTGCCGTCGGCCAAGCAGTGTCGGCTGGCGACCCCCAGGGGGAGGGCCTTCTCTGTGGGTGCCCCCACCCTCTGGAACGAACTACCCCCCGAGATCCGGACGATTCCGGACCTCCTACCTTTTCGCCGCGCCCTCAAGACATGGCTTTTTCAACAAGCGGGTCTGGCCTAGGGAGAATTTTTAAATAGGGACGATTTTAATTTAAATCTTAATTAATTATACAGCGAAAAAAAAAATATTTGGTTTTTAATAGGTTTTTATGGGGGGACGATGTTTTATGTGTTTTAATATGCTGTAAGCCGCCCTGAGTCCTATAGGGAGAAGGGCGGCATATAAATCTATGTAATAAATCATTTTAAAAGCTCTATTTCCAGGGGTCAAGCTCCAAAATGAAGAGATTTTGGTTGATAGAAGGCAAGAGTTTCCTGTCTACTCTCTCTAAGCTTTCCTATCATCTATTAAGTCAGCATCAAGATGCAAAGTAACACGGAAATGTCCCATATATCTTCTTAAATCAGTAAATCCGACCACATAGTTGCAACTAACTTGATGGAGAGGCAGTCTAGGTTAGTGAGACTGGGGTTCACAAATGTCAATTATTCTTTACCTGCTCAAATCTCTGCATTCAGCATTCCTGCTGTCATTATAAAAAACACCTTCAAAGTAAAAGAAGGCAGACTTATAGAGATCCTGGGGGAAAGGAAGAAAAATGACAAAAAGCATTAGTCTGCCAATTAGGACACACAGAATACATATATGGGTGATATCACATCTCCATGAGCTCCAGTTAAATTTTTGAAATGCCAACCAAACTCATCACTGCGTCACATTACTGAAGAGTCCCGTAGTCTAGTCCTTTCCTTAAAATGTACCATGATAACGTGGTTTGTACTCCATGGGGCAGAAAAAGAGCTCATTCCTTTTGCTAAAGGGGGCTGCAAGACAAGACATGGTGGGGTCTTTCTTGCTCTGAACCATTACTTGGCTTCTGGGAATCTTTGATCCACACTCCCTAAGAACCAAGAAAGACATGTGGAGTTACTGCTGAGTAGTTTCCCGAGTGGTCTTCCCAGTTGCAATGTATGTGAAAGTTGGACCATAAGAAAGGCTGAGCACCAAAGAATTGAGGCCTTTGAACTATGGTGCTGGAGAAGACCCCTGCGAGTCCCCTGGACTGCAAGGCGATCAAACCGGTCAGTCCTAGAGGAGATCAACCCTGACTGCTCTTTAGAAGGCCAGATCCTGAAGTTGAAGCTTAAGTACTTTGGCCACCTAATGAGAAGGAAGGCTCTTCTCACTGGAGAAGAGCCTAATGCTGGGAAAGATTGAGGGCAATAGAAGAACGGAACGACAGAGAATGAGGTGGCTGGATGGAGTCACTGAAACAGTAGGCATGAGCTTAAATGGACTCCAGAAGATGGTAGAGGACAGGAAGGCCTGGAGGAATGTTGTCCATGGGGTCGCGATGGGTCAGACACAACTTCGCAACTAACAACAAGTTTCCTTTATTGTTCCTCACCCATTGACAGATCTTGCCAAACTAAAGCAACTATCTGTATCACTATAAATCAGACCTGGGCATTTTATAGCTGGTGGGCCACCTCTGCTCAGTGGGCAGCCCCTGTCTAGCCTGCAACAGTGTCAAACATACACATCAGTACAGTGTTGGGGCAGTGGGGCGATGTTGGAGAGTGGGGCATCAGAGCAGCAGCAGCAGGGGGCGGGGCAGCAGTAGCAGCGGTGGCAGAGTGGCGACAGCCATCCACAAGAGTCCCACTTGCTCATGTTGCCCCTTGGTAAAATTAATTGCCCACTCCTGCTTTAGATATACTCTGGGAATCCCTAGGGAGGAGACTTCATAACTCTTGTTCTTTCAACCAAACTTTCCAAACTTCGCTGCCTCTTTGCCTTCTCGAATGAAGCCCCTCCCTCCTGGAAATCCAGGCTACAATCCACCACAGCAAACAAGAAGCAGCATGTTGTCCTGCTTTTATAGAAAACCAGGAGCTGGCACACAAACTCCTCAAAAACCGCCTTCCAAGCAAGAGTGCTCTATACATTTCAAATCTACTAGTATTGTTTTTAATTCAACCAAATTATGATTGATATTTTTCTGTAAAAAATAGGTTTTATATTAAAGAAATATATATTTCAATGTTTAAATACCACCAACATAAAAATATATCAAAGTAATGGATAGCTTTTTTTAAAGAAAAATTGTTCCTTTTCAAAAATTCCTCACAGATACATAGCAAGGAACAAGTCGATCTGACCAATTAAAAACCTGTTAGTAAATGACTCTTTTTCCCTCCCTCTCTCTTCTATCTTATGCAGCAGTCCTTTCACATGTCATTTTAATTTATTCATGATGGCTTAATGCTTAGGTTTCTTTTTTTACATTTTTAATTTCCTTCTGCACTTTCCTGAGAGCTCTAGATATTAAGCAATCTAAAATTATAATTCATAAATAAATCAGAAAAATAAAAAAGACTGACTTAAAAAATATAAAAAGTCCCACTTAGTTCCTGCTTACATTAAATTCACCTGCTTATTACTTGCTCAAATGAAGAAAACACTGTAGAAACAACGTTATTTGTTTTTTTCCCCCAGGAACAGATATGCACATTTTCAAGGGATCAATAATTCAAACTTTAAGAAACAGTTTGGGAATTAAACTTCCCTCTTCGGAAATGCCTTAGAACAGGGCTTTTCAACCTTTTCATCAATTGTACCACTTTTAGGATATGGCAACATCCGAGTACCACCAGTCGCCTAGCAAGGTGTCAAAAACTTGATGACCCGCCCCCCCCCAAAAAATAAGGAAAAAAGTGATAAAGTACTGGTAGTCTTCGACTTACAACAGTTCGCTTAGTGACTGTTCGAAGTTACAATGGCACTGAAAGTGCCCCCCCAAGCCACAGCCGAGCAAGACAGCGTCCGGTGGCGCTCTTCCTCCTGTCCGAGGTTTTCATTGTTGTGAGCATTTCTGTTGAGGATTGGCAATGGGGGTAGGGTGGGGGGTGTTTGGTTTTTATTCCCCCCATCTGCTGGGTGGTTGCAGCAGGTTTTGGTCACTTCAACTGACCCTGGGACACTGTGACCGTCATAAATATGAATCAGTTGCCAAGCATCTGAATGTAAATCACAAGACCCTGGAGATGCTGCAACATTCCAGCTGATCGGCGCTTCTTCTGGGCTCAGCAGAAGCATCAGGATCAGTGCGGCTTTCCAGCTGATTGGTGCTTCTTCAGGGCTCAGCAGAAGCACCAGGATCAGCGCCGAGCTCCAGCTGGAGCCTGGCGCTGATCCTGGCACTTCCACTGAGCCCTGACATCCCCAAAGAAGCGCCGATCAGCTGGAAAGCGGCACTGATCCTGGCGCTTCCGCTGAGCCCTGACAGCCCTGCAGCTCCAGCCATCTCTCGCTCAGGCTTGTGCGGTGCTGCCACCGGTTCAGCTCATTCCCCTCCCCCACTACCACTTTTCTAGGATGGTCGCATACCACCTGCCAGGTGCCAATGTACCACAGGTGGTACCCGTACCGCTGGTTGAAAAGCCCTGCCTTAGAAATCCGTATTATGATACCTTGCTGATATTTTCTGGGGCCTGAGCAGGATTATTGCTGAACTCCCCACCAATCTGAAGGTCGCTGACACAGGAAATGCAATCTCGGAGCTCGGTAAGTTTTTGGCTCCCTAGGACCAACAGTGTCTGATATGGCTTCCGGAGCTTATGCTGTAAAATAGAGAGGGCAAAAGAAGATCAATGAAAACATTTCTGAATTTACACATCTGAATTTACACATCAGGCTAATTCAAAGTGTAGTTCCGGGTTGGCAAGTTGAAACCAGCCAATCAACCTGTTGCAAGGAATGTAACCAGCCAACTCTATCATCACTTCTCCCTATCTAGATGTACGTATAATAGGCAGTAAGGCTTTTGCCTTAAGCTGTCCCTTCCAAGGAGCTAAGAGTCAAAATCATCCAAGTTGGAGAATTACAACATACGGGATTGATATCATGAAAGCTACCGCATCTGAACTGCCCAAATCCAGGAGATCTCTTTGCGGCTGTTTAGCAATCATCAGGATTTTTGCAGGGCGAATCTAGGAGCATTCATGAAAAATACATTTGGGTGCAAATGTCATAAAGAAACTTTATATAGGCTGGTTCCTGACATACTGTTCTTTATTTGGCTTTAGCTAAGCATATTCCGTTCAACTGTATTTTATTCAACTACCCACATTGTAGCTCAGTGTGATGTGTGATCTAGTCACAGAATCAGATCATTAGTGGAGATATTTCAACAGGGTCCCTATATTGATTGGCAACCGGGTTTTAAATAAGAGTCCCTCCTTCTCTATCTAAAAAGAGCAAAAACTGGACCTGGGATTTTCTGAATACATAGAACAGTGTTTCTCAACCTTGACAATTTTAAGGCATGTGGACTTCAACTCCCAGAATTCCACAGCCAGCATTGCTGGCTGTGGAATTCTGGGAGTTGAAGTCCACATGCCTTAAAATTGTCAAGGTTGAGAAACACTGACATAGAGAATACTGAGCTTTCCTGTACTCTGTAAATCTAAGGAAGGATACAGAAGTCATATTCAGCTGCAGCCCCAGGCAGGCCACTGAACTGTGAAAGGAATCTAGAATTGTCTCAAAACAAAGTCATGGCTACAGCAAGCTTGGCATGAGGTCTGGAAGGAGATGTATTTCTGCTAGAGATGTACGCGTAGACTTTGACAGATGACCATTTGTTTAATGATCATTCGAAGTTACGACGATGCTGAAAAAGTGATTTACAGTCAGTCCTCACACTTACGACAGCTGCAAGTCAGGTGCTTGGAAGTGGGAGTGTATTTACGATAGCTGCAGGGGTTACATGACTGCCATCTGCAACCAACCCAGCCAGCTTTCTGACAAAGAGTCAGTTGGGGGAAATTGGATTCACATGATTCACTTAACGACAGCATGATTCAGCATCCAAAAAATGGATGTGGTCGCATGATGACTGACTTAATGACCTCATTGCTTAGAAACACAATTTCTGTTCCTTACTGTGGTCATAAATCAAGGACTACCTGTAATCTGTCATCAATGTAACTAGACATGTCAGAGAAAAAGAAAGCCATGATGCTGGAGAGAGTTTTGGGCTCAGCCTCACAATGAAGTAGTTCATCTTCTAAGACAACTCTGGAAGGTTTAGGACATTCCCTAATTAAGTGGGATCTAGCCAAAGTTGGACTTACTTTTCTTTAAAATAAAGGGCACCTTGTGCCTTAAAATCTTTCTGCAGAAAATTGGATTCTACTTGGTCATGTTGCAAAAGGACCACACATTAGCAGACTCACACACGATTCCTCCAAATAAACTGATCTATTTGTTAAGAAGCCATTAAAACAGATCCGAAGCTCAATTACCAACCTTTTGAAATATAACTGGATAAAAAATGTTGAGAGTTAAAACCAGTTCAGCTTTGTCAACCATATTTACAGGATCTTTTGGCCTTTTTCCAATTGCATGAGATTCCTAGGAAAAAAATACATTGGAATGTGAGTCGGAAGCTCCCAACAATAGAAATCAAAACACCCGCATAGATATTCTATCAGCCATTCCCAGTTTTCCAGATATGTTGGGAAAGCAGGACAAGCCAGTTTGAAGTAGAGCTCGATCAAGCAGTGTGAATGGTAAAATACATCTGAAGATTCCAGTGTTTTTTTTAGATGCTAGATCAGTGGTTCTCAACCTTTTTAATGCCGCGACCCCCAACCAGTCGTAAGTCGAGGACTAAACCGGTCGTAAGTCGAGGACTAAACCGGTTGTAAGTCGAGGACTACCCAACCGGTCGTAAGTCGAGGACTTTCCCTGCCCGGGAGCGCCGCACATGCGTGGTTCCGCCCCCTGAGCCAGCCGAGGCGTAGCTGGCAAGCGGCAGAGACGGAGCAGGCCAACCACCAGCTGGCCCAGCCCAAGGGAGGTAAGGCACTCGCCGGAAAAGGGGAAAAAAATGGCGGACAGCCTTGCTTGGCGACCCCCGTGAAATGGTCGATCGACCCCAAATGGGGTCGCGACCCATAGGTTGAGAACCGCTGTGCTAGATAAACAAGCAGACAGGCATGGCACTTACTTCCCACACAGTATGTCAAATTCCTAGACTCTGGGCTGCCAATTAAATTGCAAGAATGTCACCCTTGGTTTAGAATAAGACACAAAGTTAAGATGTGCTATGCAACACCCATCAAAATGCACCTTCTGACAGCTATTGTGGCAAGGTTTTCTTGAGATTAGCATGTAACATCTGGAATTCTATAATTATTGTCTAGTTGGAATAACTACAGGTGAGAAAGGAGGCCTTACCATCTCATGAATAAATGTTTCTTGTCTACATGCACGATCAACAAGGATGGTTTCTTCTCGCCTCTCCAGAGCTTTCTGCCGAATTCTACAAATGGGAAGAAGGAAAGAAGGTGTAAATGAAGACTCAATCATCCAAGCCAAAAGTATCTAAAAAAGGTTAAATCAGGGTAACTGGACCAAAGTTTTTTTAAAAACTGAAACATTTCGTTACTCATCCAAGTAACAAACTTTGGTCCAGTTGCCATGATTTAGATTTTTTTTTAAAGATACTTCTGGCCTGGATTATTGAGTCTTCATCGACATGCTTTTCATTTTGGGGGAGAAACCCCCTGCAGTCTATATGGCAGAGATACCTGGGTATCTCCGAGACCGCCTTCTGCCGCAGATTACCTCCCATCGACCGGTNAGGGGGGGGATTGTATAGGGATTTTAATAGGGATTTTATAACTTTTCTAAAAATAACAGGCTTATTTAATATATATTTTAATTGTTTTTAGATATTTATTGTATAGTTCCGTTTTTATTGCCTGTAAGCCGCCCTGAGTCCTTCGGGAGAAGGGCGGGATATAAATTAAAGTAATAAATAAATAAATAAATAAATAAAAGTTGATTCATTCCATCGCCTCTCAGACTCTCTGCCTATCCAAAATTTTCACTTGACTGAAGACGTTACTTGGATGAGTAATGAAACCTCTCATTTGGTCCAGTTGCCATGATTTAACCTTTTTTTAGATAAGGAAAGAAGATGAAGGAATAAACTCCTTAAGTCAACCTTATAAAAACAAGAATTAAGCACCACGTTAGACCTCAACAACTTTTGATTCCAATGCAATACGAGCTGTCTGCAGAGTATGGTCAAAAAAAGTCAACGTCATGTTCACAATGATGCAAATTGAGCTCAGCCTGTTTTTCATGTGAGATAAAAAAAACAAACAAACAGGTGGAGCTCCAATCACACCCCCACACTATACCACTAACTGCCATCTTGAGCTTTTTGACTACACCCTGGGAGGACCAATTACACAGAATGATTTCACAACTATGTACCTTTTGATGTGGGAATGATTCTGGACACCTTTGCAAAGCATTTCACACAGACGTTGTCCATCTGATTAGCCATTTGACATTTTGAGAACATGCAGACGTGCTCAGACAAGATCCATTTACCAGAAAGTCAGGTCAGAAAACAGTTACCAGTCATTCCTTCTGACCCCTGATGCTTAACTTTGCCCCCCTTTCCCCCCTTAACTTTGTCCATGGGCCTGTTGCTGATTAATAAATAAAAGCTGGTCAATGACCAAAAGTAGACTTTGGTACTTTAAGTTTAATTTGTAAATATACACAATGTTACAAGCTGATACTTTATTTTTCAGTTTAGTGGCTTGCCATCTGATGTTAAAGATTGTTGACACTGTTTATGTGTGTGGGGGGGGGGAGAGAGAAATTTCCTGGGGGCCAGGAAAGCATATGTGTACTCTGCATTGCTTATCCCTGGTCTAAGATGTTGAAAATAGAGGTAGTCCTCAACTTACGACCACAACTGAGCCCAATTTTTTTGTTGCTAAGTGAAACATTTGTTAAGTGAATTTTGTCCCATGTTACGACCTTTCATACCACCCTTATTAAGTGAATCCCTGCGGTTGTTAAGTGAATCTGGCTTCCCCATTGACTTTGCTTTTCAGAAGGTTGCAAAAGATGATCACGTGACCCTGGGACACTGCAACCGTCATAAATAGGAGTCAATTGCCAAGTGTCTGAATTTTGATCATGTGACTATAGGGATATGGCAGTGGTGGTTAAGTGTGAAAAATGGTCTTAAGTCACTTTTTTCAGTGCCGTTCTGTGAACCATCACTAAATGAATTGTTGTAAGTTGAGGACTAGCTGTACACCATATGAAGAAGGCTAATCACAGTTAAAGAGCAGTAGTAGCTTTTAATGAGGTTACGGTATTTTGGACATAGATAAGCCCATTCCTCGGATCAGCTAATAATCTAAAACGACTGGTTTAATTTGATAGGCCCAAATGCCTCAGCCTCTCAGACAAAGTCGATTGGGAACTTTATAGAAAACAATTAAGAAGAAAAAAGTCAATAGGCAAGCAGAGATCATTTATGTTACATCTCTTCTCTATAGTTACATTTTTATTTCCCTCCACTGAACAACGCAGGGCAACTGTGCAGTTGTTAACTTGACATTTATTTACCTGTAAGATTGATAAATGGCTTCTTTCTAGAGCAGGGGTGTCCAACCTTGGCAACTTTTAAGACTTGTGGACTTCAATTCCCAGAATCCATGGAATCCGGCCGGCTGGGGAATTCTGGAAGTTGAAGTCCACAAGTCTTAATGTTGCTAAGGTTGGACACCCCTGCTCTAGAGGCTTTAGGCAGTGTAAAGAATCAAATCACAATTTAAAGACAAAGTAATAAAAAAAACCAATAAAACCGTAAACAATAACAAACCACAAGAGCACCCATCTTCCCATAGCTACTTAATCAACAAAGATACTTAATCAACAAACGTATTTCCCCAAAGCCTGTGAGAAAAGACCACTCTTGCCTTGAGGGTGCATAAGCTTTTCCAAGGAAAGGGAATAGCCAAGAACATCCATATCTATGCCTCCGCCCACTGTACCTCAATGGATTTTAATAATTGGCTAAGGCTCCTATTTTGTGATTGGACAAGCCGATTCGAAAAAGCACCAATGGCATATGTTCAACATTCCGAAGATGTACTGACACAGCTGAACGAAGGCATAATAAATTACAAACTGCTTAAGAAACAAATTTAATCTGATCAGCAAGAATGTAAAATAGCATTCCCAGATGCAGGCAAGCTTTGGGCTAGCAAAAAGGCTCAACAATATAGTAAAGTGTAATGGAGGCATTATAGGAATCAAATATGTAGTCATAAAAGCATTGGGAAGGGTTGCAAACAGAATATTTGGCATTATCCAAAAGGCCTGCCAACAGAGGACCACCCAAGGCCTTGCAAAGAAAAATACAGCATCTCTTTGCATGTTAGCATACAGTGGAATACAATTATGACAGTTTGTTTAGATATCTCATAAATTTAGTACTTAACAACGAACTAAAATATATTATAGCAATATTCAGTCAGGCAAACTAACTGAATTAAGCCATCATAGTTTTCCAGCTTTGGCTTGGCATGTTATATCCATCTGCTCATTGCCTTAGTTCAGTGGTTCTCAACCTTTTTAATGCCGTGACCCCCAACCGGTTGTAAGTCGAGGACTAAACTGGTCGTAAGTCGAGGACTAAACCGGTCGTAAGTCAAGGACTACCCAGCTGGTCGTAAGTCGAGGACTTTCCCTGCCCGGGAGCGCCGCGCATGCATGGTTCCGCCCCCTGCGCCGGCCAAGGCATAGCTGGCAAGCGGCAGAGACGGAGCAGGCCGACCACCAGCTGGCCCAGCTCAAGGGAGGTAAGGCACCCGCCGGAAAAGGGGAAAAAAATGGCGGACAGCCTTGCTTGGCGACCCCCGTGAAATGGTCGATCGACCCCAAATGGGGTCGCGACCCATAGGTTGAGAACCACTGCCTTAGTTCATAAACTGTTCTTAACATTACTTATGGATTAGAACAAACTTCCAACTAATCAGAATTGCGACTGAAATGAAATTCAATATACTTAAGAGTTATTAAGTTGGTATCTTCAGGTATCGCTTCTGGATCTTCTTTATCAGAGCTCTTCAGTGCAGCAATGCTAAAAACAATACAAAAAATTAATTCTATACTTGTAGGAAAAGTCAACTTGTAGAATATATAAAAACATAGAAACTTTCAGGTACATGTAGGAAGTAAACTTGAACAATTGCCAAGAAAATGTTTTTAGACTAGAGTCCAATGCTACTGTAGACTTTCGTCTTGCAACCATAAACAGTATGTCCTAGATTCACAGATTACAGTAAAACACAATGTAATCAGGTTTTTTATGATTTAGTGTGTTCAATAGACTAGCCATTGTGGTTTATGAACAATATTTATGGCTTTGTGGGTTGTGAGAACCCATAGAGTTGAGGCTTGTTACCACAGTTCAGCAAATACAGACTATGAATCAAGTCTAGTCTTAAGCCACTGGTAAAAAATAGACTATTATTCATAATTGGAATGAAGAAACCATTATTCATTAATACCAGCTTCCAATTCCTAGCAGCAGGAAGGAATGAAAGATAAATGGTCTTTTATGCTAAAAAAAAAAAAAGCAGCCCAGTAATACAGAAATACAGACAAAACATTTTTTGTCTACCAGACTAACTTTTAGAGACAGTGCTGATTTTGTATAGAACAGCTTTTGTTAGTAAAACTAGTTAGTTATTTCCTGTTAGTAAAAAAAATATCAGGCATTCCTGTATTAAGAAACATGGAGTTGAGACAAAAATTAGCAGCTCCAAATCTGCCTCAGTCACAAAATGTCTTGAAGCTTTCCCATGACCCCAACATCATCTTAATGGCGTGCACTCTCTTTCCTCACATCTTTGGTTGCTATAAAAATATATAAATGTACAAAATAAGACGTCACGAGAAATGTCATGATATAAACAGAAACCAGATGTAGGGACTCTATTTTAAAAGACAAGAGTTGGCTTCCCTCAAAATAAAGTCCTCTCCTTTTACTTGCTTCATACTGTATCTGACCAGAGTCTTTCCTGAAAATAGCCAAAGTAGAAAGTGCCCTGCATTTCATGTTTGTACATATCCCAATAGACTGCAGTCTCTGGCTCGGTCAGTTGAACTATTTGCACTTCATTTTATAGCAGGGTGCCAAAGCAAATACCAACATATAGGCACAAGTGTAGCACAACATTATTCTAAAGCAGGGGTCCCCAACCCACAGTTCATGGACCAGTACCGGGCCGCAGCATGCCAGCAACTGGTCTGCATAAACAAGAAAAGCCCCATCTGTGGGGTGCAGGCAGTGCACAAAACCACACACCTTCTGGTCTGCAGAAAAACCTCTCTCCACGGAAGCGGTCCCTGGTGCCCAAAAGGACTTCTGTTCTAAAGGGACTCAGTGTATGTTCATGTGGAAAGGAAGAAGACGTCCACAGTTCATAGTGTACTCATAGAGTTGACATTTTCCCTTGTCTACATGAACTACATGAAAAGAGAAAATGTCAACTCTATGGGTGCACTGTGATCTGTGAACATCTTCTTCCTTTCCACATGAACATACACTGAGTCAAAAAGAGGGCTGAGAAAATATTTGCAGACCTCTCACATCCAGGACATAAACCGTTTCAACTTCTCCCCTCTGGACAACACTATAGGGCATGGCATGCCAAAACAATTAGACACGTGTTTTCCCCTGTGCCATCACTCTGCTGAACCCTAATTTCCACAGCACTGTCTTAGGCCTAAAGATATTTACCCATATAATAGATTGTATTGATATTATCCTTCTCATCTTCCCCATCTTTCCTACTACCTTCTCTTATTGGTATTTATGATTTATCACTTGTTCCGGGACTGACAGCATCCCTATCACACACCCCTCCCCCAAATACAGGACTCTGAATCTATTTCAGTCTTCAGTTGTTATAGAAAGGCATAGCCACTGTGTGAGGAAAAAAAGGGTCTTATTTTTGCTTTGGGTGTAAACACTTTTTTTTAACAAATACAGCCTGTGTTAACAAGTTATGAGTGATTACCCCCATTCTGTAAATGGAGTTGGGCTGGGGCATAACAATAATATAATATAGGTTATTATAGTCCCTGAATGCGAGCACCTGAAGCATTGCAGTGGGGTACTAAGTCAAGGCAAAATGGAGATTTAAAATGATCCTGTAAGTAATTGCTGCCATTCTTATAATTTCATCCAGAGTTTTCAGTAGTCAATGACAAAGCCCAGAAGACAACAATAACTGGTCTATAATGTACCCTAAGTACATTTGAGGGAAGCTACAATTCCATTTTTACCGGTACAGTTTTACTGATTGACTGAATATGTGTCATCAAATCTGTATTAACTCTTTACATTATAGTTCCCCATTAATCTCAGAGAAGCTTAATTCTAAGCAAACATATACGTGATTAGGCTGAAAATATAATTAGGACTGCAGAACTATGTTTACACTGAAAAAACCATAGAGCCCCTGAATTTAATAGTTGATTAAATGAGGGGAGAATTCAAGGGGCATTAATATTGGCCAACCTTGTCTGAACTTGGAAATTAAGCAGAGTGGGAAAGAATGGAGTGGGGTTTCCAGATATCCTTTATTCACACTTCCCCAAAATACCCTGATGAAACACAATAGTATTTCTCTTAATTAATTAGATAAAATGCCTCCATACTCTAGAAAGAGTACAGAGAAGAGCAACAACGATGATTAAGGGACTGGAGGCTAAAACATATAAGGAACGGTTGCTGGAATTGGGTATGTCTAANTCCTGACAGTTAAAACAATTAATCAGTGGAACAACCTGCCTCCAGAAGTTGTGAATGCTCCAACACTGGAAGTTTTTAAGAAGAGACTGGACAGCCATTTGTTTGAAATGGTATAGGGTTTCTTGCCTGAGCAGGGGGTTGGACTAGATGATCTCCAAGGTCCCTTCCAACTACTACTGCTACTACTGCTACTACTACTACTATTACTTCTTCTTCTTCTTCTTCTTCTTCTTCTTCTTCTTCTTCTTCTTCTTCTTCTTCTTCTTCTTCTTCTTCTTCTTCTTCTTCTTCCCATTATTATTATTATTATTATTATTATTATTATTCATTAGATGTGAACCTCAGTCAACTGAACATTCAAATTGACTGGCACTAATGATCTTAGGTATCAACCAGGTACCTTCTTAAAATGTAAGATGTTCCGAGTAGTGCAGTTTTTTGCTGGAGTTATTGCAGGAAGCTGCAGTTTCTTGAAATATTTTGCAAAGTTTTGGACATAGTTCCCAGTGCCCCAATGACAATGAGTATCACTGTTACACATTTCATCCATTACTATTACTACTACTACTACTACTACTACTACTACTACTATTATTATTATTATTATTATTATTATGGATCATCGCACAGTCAGCCAGATGTGGGTTTGCCATGGAATATATCAAGGTGGAAGGCTTATCAAAAAATATTTTAGAAAAAGGTAAGGACAAAGCACTTTCATACTTCTAAAAAAACCTGCAGAAATACGTCCATAAAATCCTCAGGGTTTGAGAGAGGTGGAAGGATATTGATATAAAACAGTCTATTTTTTACCATACCTACCCAAACATGGCTGCTAGCATTTCTGCTTTCAGGGACATGCGGGGGTGTGTGTGTGTTTGTGTGTGTTGTCATTTATCAATGGGAAACCAACTACCAGCCGATGTCATGAATGTGCAGTTGGGCAGGATTTAGATCTCAAGCCAGTTCTTCTCCTATTTCTCTTTGAAGATAGTTCATTTCAGTTCTATGATATTGTCACTGTTGCCATTAATGATTTTCATACTACTGTGTTAAATGTAAATAGAAGCTGACCATTTATTCTTTGTCTCTATCGGCTTCCTCCAATACTTCTCTCTCAGAACCACTTCCCTTTAAGCTACTACTCTTCCTGTAAGGAGAGGAAACACCTATGTCTACACATACATGACTGTCCCTTTCCCAATCTACAGTATGTTTACTTAACAAATGGAGTTTAGAGTAGGTAGTCTTCGACTTACAATCACAAAATTTCCATTACTAAGCAAGACAGTTGTTAAATGAGTGGTGCCTTATTTTATGGCCTTTTTGCCATAGTTGTTAAACAAATCACTACACTTGTTAAGTGAATCATGTAGTTCTTAAGTGAATCTGGCTTCCCAATTGATTTTGCTTGTTGGAAGCCAGGTGGGAAGGTTACAAATGGTGGTTACATGACCCTGAGATGGTGCAACTATCATAAATACATCATAGTTGTCAAGTGCCCAAATTTTGATGCTGCAATAGCTGTAAGTCACTTTTTTCGGTGCCAATGATCACTAAATGAATGGTTTCAAGTCAAGGATTACCCTGCTCATTCAGGCCTTTCCTGTTCATTCATCTGCCATCTCTTTGTTGTTGCTGTTAGTTACGAAGTCGTGTCCGACCCATTGCGACCCCATGGACAACATTCCTCCAGGCCTTCCTGTCCTCTACCATCTTCTGTTATGTTCCAACTAATCAGTTATAGCAGTGTTTCTCAAACTTGGTAACTTTAAGATATGTGGACTTCAACTCCCAGAATTCCTGTGTTTTTTTCCCAGATCAGACTTGGGGGGAAAGCTTTTAAATAGTTCAAGGTCTATATTTTTCTACCACTGCCCCCAGGTTCTGCTACAAACAGCTTCTGCTTTGCTGGAGAAGCTACTCAGAGACTACTTGAAACCCCTTTGCAGCAATTCCCCAGTTCACATGGACTCTAATTTTGTGACAGAGACTGAAATCACAAAGGGTTTTAAAAGTTCTTGCCATAAGAACTCTAACTTTTTGATGGTAGGGTAGCCCAGCAATCCTGTGAAGATTTTACTTTAATCCTCTACCTTCTGTTAAGATCCACATTCTACAAGTTCTATATTGTCAAATATGCAATGAATTGACTGCACTACTAGGGAGTCTGGTCTCTTTGGTACCAAAGCACAAATAGTTACAGAGATGCAGAGCCTGTAGCCAGATGAGGGGAGATCCCACAGCAAACCTACCTGGGTCAATGTGCCCTAGAATGGGGTGATCTTCAGCTGCCATATGAGAGAAAGTGTTTTGGGGGCAGCTTTGACTGTTTTGACCTTTGACTGTTCCCCAACCAGGCTTAGATGTGAGGTCATATCATCAAGAAAGAGTTAGTACCGGTAGGATATTTTCGTCACCCACACCCATCTTGTGGAGCATCATCTCCCTTGAAGGAAGATTGACCCCCCCATCCTCCATGTCCTTCCAGAAGTTCCTCAAAACTTGGCTGTTTCAAAAGGCTTAGGGGTCTTAAGGAAACTGTGATTTAATGAAGTAGCTTCATTATTTATAACATCAAATGCTTTCTCTTAGCCTTTTAATAATGTTTTAATTGTGGAATGTTTTTATTGCTATTTTATGTTTTTAGAGTCACATTTTGTGAGATAGTGGGCCATACAAATATGATGAATGGATGGATGGACAGACGGATGGAGGACGCAAGCAAGCAAGCAACCAGGAACGTGTGTAAATGAGCTGGAACTGAGGATACAGCTTCACACACGCCCATTCTACGTAGGTTTGTTCGTAAATAAGCCACAACTGAGATCAAAACAAAAGGCATTCAGGTGATGAGATTTGAACTGTAGGTCGCAAAATTGCAACTCGACACAGTTAGCCAGGAAGCGGGATGAGCTACCTGCACACAGCCTTCAGCTCTGCCGCGATCTCCGGGGTGCAGAGAAAATCCTCCATCACCGCCGCCTCGTCGTCCGCAGGTTCCGCCTGCTGGAGAGACACGTCTTCCTCGCGCAGCGCCTCCTTCCAAAGAGCCCCAAAAGCGCCCACGTGGAAAGCCCGAGTGTTCAGATCCGCGGTCTCATAATCGGGGATATTATCTCTGGACCCGGTGCTAGCTCCAGCCATCTTTGCATCAAAAGTTAACCGAGGAGACACAAGGTGTGAAACGGATGTGGGGCCCCAGTGGCTTCTGGAACTTGTAGTTTCCATACGGTAGAGACTTAACGCAGTTGAACATGCCACTTCCGAAATTGCTGAACTATAACTTCCGGTGAACTCAGCCAATAAGATCAATGATAAGGAATGCCGGGAGTTGTAGTTCAAATTCATCAGGGTTTCTCAGAAGCCGGTCGCTCTTTCAAGAGAGTTGGAAACGTTTGCTCATTTTTTCAGCGAATTGTGGAAATAGCCAGGTATCCCAGGTCCGTAGGTGCGGATTATTTTTCTATATCTAAATAACAATCATGCAATTAGACAACAATGAAGCCAGAGCGGCAGCGATTGTACACCCACTAGATTGTGTCTAGCTTTAAATTCTGCTGTAATTTTATATAATTTAAAAATCGTGCTATTTAAGAATAGTTGACACACTCTGCACGTTTTATTAAAAAGGTAGGACACTATATATATGTCCATAAAGGGTATGGCTAACTGATGAAAGCAGAACAAGCTAGAAATGGCCATCTTAGTCTCCCGATTTAATTCTTTAACTCTTTGTCAGAAAAAGAAATTTGGATTTAAAAATGTTTCGCAGTTGCGACTTGAGCCTGCTTAACGCCCCTAGTTGGGGGGCTGCATGGTAAAAGATATTGTAAAAAGTAAAAACTGCAGTATAGCAGTTATAGAAGAAGAATAAACCTTGGGAAGGATTTGATAGGTGAATAAAAATGCCAAATCCAGTCTAAACATCTAGCTGAATGTGCGAATAATAATAACAGACAACACCAATAACAACAACAATAATAATAAACCACTTTTTAACTTTGCAAAAAACACTCTACTCGGAACTGCTTATATACCTTACCTTGACAGCTCTTAGGTTCTTGGTTAGGACCTGAACTTTAAATCTTTACCAGTCGCAAACTGTGAATCGAATTGAAGATTAAATAATAATAACAAAAATAGGTATAACAACTGAAAAACCTGATTGAGAACACTGACAGTTGCAGTCCTATCATATCTAGAAAACACCAGCTTGAGTGCTTGTTAATATTCTCAATTAAAAAGAAGTACCCCACTACACGCTTCCCTCCATGTAAATGCAGTTCCATTGAGGACCACATGCTGAGTATGGCCGGTCTGCCAGCTATGAATCCATCTGGTGGTGATGCTGGCTAACCCACATTTTTCTATCTCATCAAGTAGTAGGTTGTGGTCTACTTTATTAAATGCCTTACTGAAGTCCAAGTAAATTATATCCACAGCATTCCTCTGGTCCACTAATTTTGTCACTTGGTGAAAGAATGCGATAAGATTTGTCTGGCATGATCTGTTTTAGACAAACCCATGTTGGCTTTTGGTAATGACTTTGTTTGCCTCTAGGTCAGACATGTCAAACTTGTGACATCATGTGATGTCACGTAACATATCGGGCTGGTTTTGCCATTGCCGGCAATGGGGTGGGCGTGGCTTCCACGTGACGCATCCGGCCCGTGGGCCGGCAGTTTGACACCCCTGCTCTAGGTGTTCGCTGATTTGTTGCTTGATTATCTTTTCCAGAATCTTCCCAGGTATTGAGGTCAGGCTGATACGTCTGTAATTTCCTGGATCCATTTTTTTCCCTTTTTTGAAGATGGGAACTACATCAGCTGTTTTCTAGTCCTTTGGTAATTCCCCAGTGCTCTAGGATCTTTGAAAGATATAGTTCAGTGGTTCTGAAATCACACTGCCATTGAATCTGTCTATCAGTGTACAATAAGTTGAACTAGAGATTCATGCTCCTAGTTCTGTTTAAGCTAATATTTTAACTGGCACAGCCTCAGAAAAACCTCCACAGATACTCAGCCAGGTTCTAGCTGAAGTGGGGCCGGAAATCAGAGCAAAGGTCTCAGGAATGTAACCTAGGTAGATTCTAAAGTAAGGAGATCATTGTGTGTCATATAACAAAGACTTTAGCTTTGAAAAGTTGAACTGCTGCAGGCATATAGTAACAACTTGTGTATCTGGTTATTGCACTAGATGCTTCACGCATATGGTGCATGAAGTTTGAAGATTGAAGTTTCCAGATGGATTACTGAAAATAGATTCCCTGGATGTTTACAGGCATTAAGCCGTTCAATTTAAATCTGGTTGATTTTCCAAATAGAGGTGGAATGCAGCCACCTTTTTTGCATCAACTATTTTTTATGTGGTTTATTTCTACATTTCAACCTAGCAGTGTAGCGTTAACACATGGATGTTTTGTTGCACCCGCACGAGAAACAGAAAGAATAGCAGCATATTTATTTATTTACCTCTCACTAAGGAGCTACTCTAGGTGGCTTACAACAATAAAAAGGAGGAAATGAAAGGAGTGTAAACAAAACAGGAGTAGAATAGTAGAATAAAATAAACAAAGAACCATAAATAAAGAACCAATAAAATAAAGAACCATAAGAATACAACAGACATGTCAAACTCGCGACGTCATGTGACGTCGCACAACATATCGGGACTGTTTTGCCATTGCCGCCAATGGGGTGGGTGTGGCTTCCGTGTGACGCGTCCGTCCCGCAGGCCAGCAGTTTGACACCCCTGGAATACAATAATATATAAGAGTAATTTATGAGCTAGAGCAGTGTTTCTCAACCTTGACAATTTTAAGGCATGTGGACTTCAACTCCCAGAATTCCACAGCCAGCAATGCTGGCTGTGGAATTCTGGGAGTTGAAGTCCACATGCCTTAAAATTGTCAAGGTTGAGAAACACTGAGCTAGAGGATACAAGGTCCAATGAGAGCATGAAGCATCTAAAAACCTGATATGGTAAAATCTGTCATTATTTTGTTTATATTATATGGAATAGGTAAACAGAGAGTCCTTGCTTAGCGACTACAATTGGAACCAGCAACTCTGACCTAGGCAATAGTCATTATGTGAAACATCACATGACAGTGACAAGCTTACAACTTCACTTCCCCAATCATTAAAGTAATCACCACGGTCGTTAAGCGAAACATCATGTGACCATGACTTTCTATTTTATTGCCAGCTCCACCAATAACTCTGCTTGTTGGAAAGCAGACTGGGAAGCCTGTAAGTTGTGATCACGTGACTTGAGAACAGTGCAATAATCATAAATTTTCCCGACCCATTGCAAAGTGCTGGAATTTCAATCATGGGACTGCAGAGATGCTGCAATGGTTTTAAAGTTACTTTTCAATGTCATTGTAATTTAAAACTGTCACAAAATAATTGTTAAGTGATGATTACCTGTTTTATAGAAAAGCCTCAGCAAATGGCAATCCCTATCTAGCCTTGGCCATTTTCCAGAGCTGAGCAGGACCGGGTTTGATTAATATATGAATGAGGAAATCAAGTGGGAATTCTGCTAGGTAGAGTGGGAAAACAGATATAAAATGGGCCTAAAAAGGATGTGGCATCCAATTTCTTTCTGCCAGGAAAACTACATGGATGTAGTGACGAGCAATCGAATCCAATTTAAAAGTGTCTTTATCTTTTTCAATAATGTTTTTAATGTAGAACAGAAAGTTTGGTTCCTGTCGTAATCCAGATTAACAACAGAAGAAACGATGAGGTCTTTTTGGGATGCAGCACAGGTCGTCCATGTGAAGTAAGCATACTGAACTGTAGTAGCAGGCTGATGGGCACCCTTTATACTCTGGGTAGCTCTGAGTTGCTGCAGCACCTTAAGCTGTATTTGTCTAAATAGGCCTTTCTGAATAAGCCATAAATAAAACATGGCTCCATCCATACCAAGCACATCTATTACGCCCTTGTAAACTGTCAATATTCCGAATTTGTATCTGCAGGCAGAAATGTTCTGAGGGAGTGCTATTAAATTGAGACTTAACTTAGGTAAGTCAGAGGAGCTTCAATTCAGGATTATGGAAGAAGTGTTCATTTTGCAGCAACTTTCCGGGAACAATTCAAAGTTCTTGTTATTTTTAGGATAGGTTTGCACAAGACCCTTACTTCTGGTTAAGTTAACCATGCTTTCCTCAATGAACAGAATTTTTTTTGAGGGGGGGGATTTCCACGATACACTGAACTACCGAGTAGTAATCATGTGTTAGCCCAATAGATTGAATGAATTCAACCTGAAAGCCCTACATGGCTGGCATCCAGGTTAACTGTGTTATCCTTCTACCTTCCTGAATAAGAAAGAGCCTTCTCTGTTCCTCACCTAGTATGGTGTGTTGTGGTGAGTGTATGTGTGCACATGCAAGTACCTTCAAGTCAGTTTTTGACTCCTGGCGACTGCCTCAGAAAGTCCCTCAATTTTCTTAGCAAGATTTCAGAAATGTGCCACTGCTTGTTTCCTAGGGCTAAAAGAGAGTCACTGGCCAAGGTTACCCAGCTGGCTTTGTGCCTAAGGCAGGACTACAACTCAATCACTCAGTTTTTAGCCTCATGCCTTAACCACTACACCCAACTGCCTCTCCTATACCTAGTGTGGAGGTGTGGTTAAGAGCAATAAGGGATCTTTAACCTTTCACTTTTGCTGAATTTGTGGAAAGTATTTTCTCAATTTGAATGTCAGGGATACCATTTCTTTTCTCATAGAGCATCTTTGGATGTCATGCAAAGGTCAACAGTTGCATCAAAGTTATTAAGTACGTCTCTTCTGAAACAGAGGTAACATTTTCTCACTACATTTGCACCATACACTAAAATCAAAACCCTGTCAAGCACATTTCAAATTACAAACACACCCACCACACGTGAGCAAGCTTGTTTGGCTAGTTTTGGGTTTAATGGGCGAAAAGAACATCAGCACTTGGTTGAGTGAACTATGGACAAATTAACCCTAGGTGTTGCGGGAACCAGTTTGGTTGCAAATATCTGCTGTTGTGTCTAAAGATTACCGTATGTTTTGCTTGTACTCTCTACTTTTGTTGCATTTTAATCTACTGTTTATAAGATACTAAGCAGCAGAACACTAGGCTGTTACATGGGCCCTTTTTAATGTTTTGAATATAAGCTGCTTCT